GTGCACACGTTTGCATAGGCTCTTTTTTTCAACTGGTTCCTGAGAACTCACCAGTGTTGTGGTAAGACTGGCCTTTAGAGTGACCTGCTCAACCCAGCATGAGCTAGCTCGCTGAGCATGTGCTGGCTACATCAGGACACCCCCAAATTAGCTTTCGGAACTGCTTGCTCAGTGTTTGATTTCAACAGCATGAGTCAACAGAGTCCAACATCATTATGTACTTCAGTTGCACTGGCAGAAGGAAAAAAAATACGGTCCAGATCAGCAATGGTGTTAAGGAGGGTAACTGTTACTGGTAGCAAAGGAGATGGGGACCGCAGGAGGAATTAGGCAACCTAAAGGAATTTTCAGATCTGCTTTTTTTTTTTTTTATGATATATTCCAGGCAACTAGTTTCATACATTAACCTACAAGCCTTTACTTGAATTTCACAGATTTGTGTGGATTTGCATTTGTGTTTTCATTGATATTTAATTGCCTAGGGAACTGTTTCTGAAGCCGGGCTTATTTGTATTTAGTATTGATATAATGCCATCCCAGTAAGTGTAAACGGCACTGTAGAGATGAGTTAAAACAGCAGGTCTTTGCTCTGAACAGCTTAAAAATAACAAGCTAGCTCTACTTTACTGCACTGACTTGATGGGGGCAGATTTTGGCCTTAGATTAGACAAAACATAGTTCAGAACAAATAGGTGTACTGGAAGGACTGAAGCAGTTCCAGTCACCTTTTAAATCCGTATCTGTTAAGTAGAAGACTTCTTGTTCTAGGTTAGTATGCAACATAACATAAAGCTTGGTCTTTACCTGTTATTTATTTTTAGTGGATGATGGGAAAAGTGAGACTAGCAGACATCTTGCAACCTGACAACACAAATAAGCCCCTGAGAAAACCAAAACTGGCAAACAAACAGCCCATGTACAGCATCAACACAAATTCTTCAGGAAAATGCAGGGTTTTTTAAGGACAGGGTTTTTAACACCCTGAACACATAGATATACTTTCATTCATTGTGGGTTAGAGAATTTTGCAGAAAGTCTCTGGCATAGCCCATTAATGGCTTTGGAAGAAACAGACTTGTACTAGAGACATCATAAAGCCAGACAGCAGAAGCTCTGATGATGTATAATTTCACAGCAACAACCAAAATTAGATTTCATGAATATAAATTGCTGGGGGGGTTATTTAGTATTATTTCTAATAACATTTATTAGAAATAATGTTCCCTATTAGAGAATAATGAAATTCACAGACTGCCACATGGATGAAGTTACAAACCTTTTCAAAACCACTCATGCAAAATCTGCACAAGTTCAGTGACGGTTAATGGTTCAGGAGGAATCCCAAAGAAGCATGCCAGAATTCTCCTGCACAAGACAGTAGAAAGTGGGACTGCAGAGCTGAAAGCTGTAGGAAACCAGAAGCTGAGTCGTCCTCTATGTGTGAGGGCTGTGGCTACAGAAGATCCATGTTTCCTTTGTTCTTTCAGGTCCCAATTCCCATGTCAAGTCATGTTGTGCTCAGGGCAGGATCTGAGAGTTAAAGTCACTAAGTCACCCTTTTGTTTGCGTTTTTATTTTCGGGCTTCTGTGAAAGTCTGTAATTTAGAGCAAGGAGTTTTGGGTATGGTTCAGACTACCTTTTGCTAAAACTTTCAATAATGGTGGAACAGCCTCACTAGAAATAACATCACAAGTTCTTTGTAAGTATTATTAAATACCAAAGGATGAGAATGTTAGCCCTAAAAACACTTGGTGTTTGAACTGAGAGTCTCTCCCAAGCTGTCGCATACAACTAAAACCAAGGGATGTCCTTTACAAGGGGAGAAGCAATTTAGGACATTAAAATGTCATTTTGGTTGTCAGACATTTCTGTCTGGTCCCCTAAGCAGTACACCGTTTGCACTTCCCATATTATAATAAAAATGATGTATATTGAGGTATTTAATAGGCAATCATATAGGAGAAAGTATTTACTTCAGCAGCAGACTGGCAGCTTTCTCAGCACGTTGCACAGACACAGAAATGTGGGGGCATGAAAGAGAGCATCTTGCTTTCATGTAAAAGGTCATCAAATGCTCTGTTCAGCATCTCACTGGGAGTTTATTCAGCATCACCCTTTGTCCCTGAAACTATCCTAACCCAAACCAGGAGCTGCTGAAGACACAGCTAATAAAATGTCAGCCAGGGACTCCTGCATGGCATGGCGAGGCAGAAACTAGAGTGAGACACACACCCCGTCAGTTAGAATCTGGACAGGGGAGAGCCTGAGAACTCAGAAAGTTTAAAGATGACGCATATGCCAAGATTGCATTGTCCTTCTATCCCATCAGAGCAACCAGTTCTGAATTTGGCCACCAAACGTTGCCTCCTCAGTCACTTTGTCCATGTTGACTTGTTTTCCATGATTTGCCCACTGTCCAACTCCTTGCTCACACAGACAAGTCCTACAAGACAGAATTTTGCTTTCCCTGACCCTAATCAGCAGAAATGCTCAGGCTATGACTGAGCCTTTTAGTTCACATCCAGGAAATGCATCTCCCATACCCTTACAGCTGCCTGTGCACCTGCACAGGACTTTTCCATTACAGGCGAGCATTTCTTGTGAGAAGAACTCAGTTGAGGAAAAAATAACACTGCATGCATGGTGTTGGTTTTGGCATTTGGTAACCAAGGAGAATTGTTAGCACAATCTGTATGTACTGCATGCTTTCAGAGTCAGATGAGATGCTTTTGTGTACCTGATCCTTCATACAAGCAAAGTGCAGGACGGTGTAACCAGGCAGTACTTTAATGCCCAGGACGCAAATCACATGTCTGAGCTCTTCTGAACCTTGTTTGGAATTCAAAAGCAAATCTAAATCACAGCTTTATCTCCTAACTTCCCACCAGGCCACAGGAAAACCCCAGATCTGAACAACATAAAATCTCAGTACATCCAAGTATGCTTCATCTACGCTGGCACTACAGAATGAGCACAACATGATTCACTGTACGTCTCAGTGAGACTTCCAACAATTTGCTCACGTGTGGCGCGAAAGGCTGGACTTCATCCCAGGCCTGCCCAAAACCAGGCGCAACAGGATGGCTAGAGGACTCCCGTGCTCGAACAGACCTGCTCCCTGCCAGGGTCTGCTGCAGCTTGGGGAGTACAGGATCTGAGGATGGCCACAAGCTGCCGGCTGCGTTATTGTGAAGCAGAGCACAGGGCTGCGTGGCACAAAAGCCTCCAGAGCCACAGCAGCTCTTGAGTCAGACAAAACCTTCCCCGGGGACTGGGCTTACTGCCCTGTCTCCAGTAAGCTAAAGCCAGAGTGCAGCCCTGCACCTTAAGAGATTCATTGGTGAACTAAGCAGAATTCAATTTCTCTTGGGTCTTATTGAGTTAAAGCAATCCCAAATGACTTGAAATTTTTCAAACATTATTTTTTCATCCTTAATTTTCAGACAGGTAATGAAATTAGAAAGACAGGATATTTCAAGTGAAGTAAACCAACAGACAGAACATACTAAGAACTTCTTTCCTCCTCTGCACTAGTGGTATTTGGCTCACTCCTGCAAACTGTGCAGTCAATTAGATATGCAAATATGCATACTCAAAATTTGCATTTGCATTGCCATGCTTCTATTCATAGCCATGGCAATCATGTATTTCAGTGACCAGTTAGATTTTGAGTTGGCTCATTGTGCATAAAAATCTCAGAAACCATCACAGAAAACGAAGCGTGCATTTTTGTGTGTGCAGACATGGGCATGCTGCAATGACAAACACAGTAGCCCACAGGCTGAGGCTACCAAAATTTAGTGTGTTTTGCAATTCCCATTAATTATTTTGCAGCCTTTTCTTTGAATATTTACTGTGAAGTCTAGGGACATTTGTATTTCTTATATCCATATGTCCAGACGCCACAAAAGATTTTTAAAAAATGCCCACAGTTTGGTTACATTTCAATTTAGTCTAAAAATGCAGAGAGCTCATGTTTAGATTTTATCAAGAAGAAAGATAGCAAATGTCAAACAAAGACAGTATCTGAAAGGAAATAAAACAAATAATGCAGAAGACTTGTTTAAAAAGTTACAAAATATGACAGCATTAATGGCACTTAAAGCTATAAGCACTTAAAAGATTACCACCATATTTTTCTCAACTTCTTTTCGTAGATTTCTTTTTTCTTTTTTTTTTCTGAGATTATGACTGCAGCTTATGTCTAAACCCAAACCCAGCAAAAGGGGTAGAGAGCCCTGAGATTCTGTGGTTGCCCTGGCCCTCCTTTGAATAGTGTATATGCTCTTATGTCTATTTTTAAAAGTTCAGATTCAGCTACAGAGAACAGCAGTTTGCTGACATGCAAAAGCTATAGCTTTCCTTCTGTCTTCATAGTCTTACAGCAATAAACTGAAGGGTTTTTTCAGTGGTAGAAAGTGTGAATGAGAAATTCTTTTAAAAAAAAGTTGGCCCACTGTTTTATACACCTAACCGAATATCATTAAATTAATGTTTCTCTTCTTTTAAACAACATAGCACGAGATGTTGCACTTTCTTCATATGTGCTTTCTTGCTGTGAGCTTACATTTAATATTTCCTACACGAGAAAAAAAATCCATTTTTTCTTTCCTTTTTTTTTTGACACTGGTTAAGATAAATACCCACAGAGTTAGTTGTTTGTTTGTTTGTTTTTAATGAAAAGAGCAAGCCGAGCCTTAAATATGTCTATATTGATTTTTCAAACCAGCACCCAGCTGGCGGCTGTGTCCATGGACATTCTTTTGGAGTTTAGAAAGATAATGCATCTGATTCAAAAATTAAAAAAAAATAATAATAAAAAAAAAATCTAGCTTGGATCACGTGCCAAAACGTAAACTAAGCCTTACTGAAAGTTTCTAGTTCAATCCAAACATTTCTCCTCTTTTTAATCACCAGGGGAAGGCTTTATGGATGCATACTCCATTACAAAGATACACTCTTTTTCATCCCTTTCAAACACTCTTCTTACATAGCTGCCATTGCCATGGTTCAGTCTCTTCCTTTGCGTCTTGCCCTGGTAATCTTATACAGGCTGAAATTTCCATGTGCGTAGCTTTCTGTTGCCATTCTGCAGTGCTGTGTTCCTGAATTGTTTTGGCAGAGCAAGCTTGAGTCTTTATGGCACAGTGAAATATTCTTCGATGCTATATAATTCAGACTGAATAAGGAGTCTGTATAAGGCACGTGTCTCAATATATATATGTATATAAAAACACTAACTTTGTTAATTCAAGTCAGGCATCTTTTACATTAAATTTCTGTCTTCAAGTAGCGCTTTGTTTTCACGTTCCCTTTCTTTGGTTTCATTGGGGATCACTCCATTCTCCAGGTCCGAGTGCTGCTGGATGCAGTCGGTCAGTACTGCAGTGCTAGAAGAGTTATCAGAATTACACATCTTCTCTGACTCCTCTTCCTTTTTTTCTTCATCCAAGGAGTAGTTTCGGAAGGTCTCATAAATTTTACGCACATCCTCAGGGATGGTCTTTTTGAGGTCTTTGTTTTTCCTTTTGGTCATCTTAGCAGATGATCCAAACTTGTTAATGATGTTGTCTTCGGATGCCCCCTGCCCGTGCTTGTTGAGCTGATCTGACCCTTTAAGGCGCAGGTTGTTAGGCCTGTTGTTGATGCTTTCCTGAGATGAGGCCTTGAAGCGTCCTGTTTCCAAGGCAGTAAAGACAGAGCGCTTCTCTGGGGAGAGCATGTCTAAGGAATGGGCTCGCTGGTCCAGGCCCAGGCGCCTGCGCTCCATGCTCCGGATGGTGGCTGCCCGCTGAAGTTTGTCGTGGATCTCCACACTGAGCCGCCTCCTTGTCTCTCTGAACTCAGCTGTCACATTTGCTTTCCACTCAGCTGCGTGGGCCTTTATTTCTCCAACCTTTACAACAACAAGAAAGAGAAATGAATATAAAAAAAGCAAAAGCATAGAAGAGTAGCACAAGCGCTTTCTTGTCTAGCATAGAATCAGAGACCAGTCCCAGCTCCAGTGCATCCATCTAGACCCAAACTTCAGCAGCAAAGTGGCTATACTGAGCAGGCTCTAAACACACCAACTAGTGACTAGCTAATGTCTTGTGTGGCATATAACTTGTCTGCCTGTTTCACATTTTGCCCCCCACATTTTATAGCTGTGTTACACGATAGCAGGTATTTATGCTAATCCCTCCTTGGTTAAGAACAAAATTCCTGACTTATAATGTCAGTGGTAAATGAGCAGGACTGAGTAAAATTAATCACATATAGTTATACCAATATACTTCAGAATAGCACAACAACCAGTGTAGCAATACAGTAATGTATTTTCCCATATTGCTTATGGATGGAGCTGTTCAGTCCCACTGAAGGTTCTGTTCAGTGCTACAAAGCCACAGAGCAATTAACGGAAACACCTATTAGATAATTCCAAGTGGACCTCTGACTGATCCAGTCATTCTCAGGGACAAATATAGCTGTCTTTAATGGAGGTTTCCATTGCATAACTGTCCAAACACCACCCTCTCAAGGCAGCTGGAGGAGGTGTCAACACATACTGTGTGGGCACCATGAGCATGTCCTTAAATGTCTCACTGCTTTGCTTTGTTTTAGTCCTTTGCACCCGAGAGCAGAACAATGGCTAAGAATAAAGCACCTACACGGCTGCTGCGTTAAATAAATATTTCTTCCACAATGAGAAAAAAAGAAGGTAAATGACCAAGCAATATCTCAGTCAACACAGGCCTTTTCCAAAGTTCAGCTAAAGGACAACAGATTCAGGAGTACGATGTCTGCAAGAGCCCACCAAGGTCAATGGTTTGCTTGGGCTGCTGTAGCCAGAACTCAGTTTCTGCATTCAGTGATCCACGAGGAATTCATCTTTGGTTCCTCAGGCCAGATGAGCAGGTGTCCATTAGAACTGTATTACTTGTGGGAGTAGGCATCTCACATTCACCATAAGAGATCAGATTCCCACATGTAGGTGCCTGCTGATGTTCAGCCTGACTGCCAAACTCTCTGTGAAGCCCCTTTTTTCACGGAGGTGTGCAGGAGACACATCTGAGGCAGCGCAGATGTTTTCATAAATGATAAACAGAAGTACCCCTCTGCCAAACTTTGTCTATGCCTGCTCTTTGGCTAACCTTGCCAGGTTAGCTTTGCCAGTAATGCAGAAGGAGATTGCCTTAAAAATTGAAATTATATTATTAACGTCCTCCACAATAGGCTTCAGCTCTAGAGTCATGGCAATTGCCTTCTATTTTCCACTCTTATTTGAGTGACACATTAGCAATACTGTCTTTGAATCATGGAGGGCATTTTCTGAGTGAATTTAATCATGTTCTCCCTGATGCTGATTACTCAGTTTCTTCAATTTTTGATAATATGGTAGTCAGTAAAGGGCCTGAATCTAAACTCTTATTCAGAGCCATATTCCATGACATAGGGAAAGGTGGGAAAACTCAATATAAAACCCTGGTTTAAAGGCAGGTTCTTGCCCCATAAGGAAGAGAGCCAACTAATGTCTTCAAAACCTATGCATCTCTAATTTTTTTAAGAGAGAACACTGAATTTTTTATCACAACTTTGTAGCTAGTTTCAGAGTGAAGGCTGGCCTCTTTTATTCCGTAACTGCAATCCTACTGATGTGTTCTGCGTATTTGGTAGTACTGATAGAGGTGTAACAGCCTAGGTTGCTTCAGTTGCTTTTTTAACTCCCTTTGTGAAGGAGCTAGAGATCAGAGCTAACTGGATACCAAAGGCAGCCAGTGGAGTAAACCACAGGGAATATTGAGCATTTGTCATACAGAGGAGTATCCTTCTTTAGACAAACAGGAATCAGGCACTTAAAGCTCTCATAAAATGACAAACCACTGAGAAATTACTAGTCATACCTCTTCTTTTGTCTTCTTGGACAGGACTCTTAACCAGTCTCCAATCATACTCAGGACAGCAGCAAAATAGGCAAGGCCAACGAGGATCCAGAACCACACTAAGGGTTTATACCACTCCCGGTAATGGATGTCAGCATTTCCTCCTGAAATAAGCATATACTTACGCTTAGGAATCATGAGATGCCAAAATTATGACAAAATAGCTACAATTCTGAGAAATTCCTGAAAGTATTTCTTGACTCTTGCCAATACTACTGTAGTTCTAATAATAGATGAGAGGACTGTCAGATGGGAGGAACACAGTCTGTTCTTAATTTAAAACTCTTTAAAATTATGTACTGTTCTGCTGCTATGTGACCTGCCACAGCACCTAGTAAACACTTTTCTTTATATTGCTCATACTCTGAAGCAAGTCTGAAATTCCTGCTTTGGTAGTACTTGCAACAGCATGAACACATTTCCAAGAAAAAGTTTGATACAGCTAGTCTTCCTTATTCTGAACTGCCTGCAGCCTGGTAGTTGTGAAACTTTACAGTTCAATGCCCTCAGGTTATAGTTTCCAGATATTTTTGGTTTTACCTACAGGATTCAGAGACCTACATGCAGAAGAAAGAAAAGTAGCTTTGTCTTCCCCTCCAAATTAGGATATCTGACAGGAAGCCCACCCTGCATCAGCCCCGATAATAAGGATATACCGTCTGCTTTGGTATCAGTTATAGAAATGCATTCTCTGGCCAGTGACTTGAGAGGAGATATGGATCAAATGAAGCAACAAATGTCCTATATTGTTTTCATGCGAGTTTTAGGATGAGCTGGTAAAACAAGTATGTGAGACATTTGGCAACTCTGCTGGACTATGAAGAGCCTAAAATAAATGCAGTATCAACCAGGCTGCTACCTACCACAGAATAGAATAAACTTTTCCAAAAGAAAGCAACCACAACCTCACTTTTGAGACTCCCAGTCCTATCACAGTGCTAAGTGCACTGCAATAATGAGACAGTGAGAGGCAGGCACAGCCCTGAGCTGAAGAGAGAGTGGCAGAGGCGGCACAGCCACATCCCTCAGTGCAGGTGAAGAAACACCACCTTTGGTGGTACCTGTGTAAATCTCTGCCTGAAGAGCAAGCCTGCCAGGGGACTTGGGCAGAGGACTGCATATTTTCTGGACTCTAGTCTTGGTTAGATAAGAGCTAGACACCAGTCTGTACCTCTGTATGAGTACAGAGAGCTTTGGGGATTTTCCCCCATTAAAATCACTGGACAACAGAGATCAGTGTTTGCCCCTGAGCTTTTTGCAATCTGAGACATTCCTACAACTCTTTAATTTTACCCAGACTCAGTAGGAGTGTACGTACAGTGATCCAACATCCCTGTGGAAGCTCAGACATTTGAGAATTGGCAGGGACCCAAATATTGGTTTTGATATTAATCTCTCCCCATACACAGCATGAATCACTCTCTTTTTTCCAGTGTTTAAGAGTGGGAAACAAGGGGAGGTGGGGGCTGCTGTTGCTATGGTACAACAAGGCTCTTCTGATAATACGTGTCCCTGAGGAAGCTCGCTATGAAGCAGATTGTCTAGGTCTGTCTTATGGAGTAATCAGGCAACTGAGAAAGTATGAGACCACTTTTTTCAGCCTATCAGATATTCTGTTTTTTCAGGCTCCATCCACAATTATATTGCCAACAGTAGTACAAAAACTCCCAAAAGCTGGGACACGTTCTAAGTGGAATAAATCAGCATAGCTCCATTGATGTGGTTTTACCCAATGCAATGTAGTATTTTCCCTTTGATGTCAAAGGGACAGAGAAATGGAGAGTTTAAAGTAACAGAAAATAAAAGTGACAGAAAATCTGTCCCAAAACCAGCAATGAAACCCAGATCTCCTGGTGATCACCTGCCTTAAACTCTTATCATGAGATCACCTCTGAAGTTTTCTCATTCAGGGTCCTCCATTTGATTTTTGAAAAATCCTGGTTGTTAGTAGCCAGCCAGCTGTGGATTATATTCTCCTAATCATGTTGGATTTAGAACAATTTAATTTAATGTTCAGGGCTTTTTTACTATTATATAATTACAGAAAACAATACCAAAGTGTGTTATGCTTAAGAAAAATATTGTGAAATATTTGTATTTCACACTGTGATGACACAAAGACAGAATATCAATGACCTTCTCTTCACTTTTAAGTGGTTAAAATGAACCAAGCTCATACAATCACTTCTGTATCTGAATGCTCATAAAATGCTTCTTTTTCATATCTGGGGCTCTCTTTGTTTGGTGCCTTTCTTTCCTCAGTAATTCATGTCTTCTATACCACTATGTCATAAAAAAAGGAAGATCACAGCCTTGTCTGCAAAAAGACTTGTCTACAGCTCTTCAGCAAAGAAAATTTTATATATTCCTGCACTTGTATTTAATGTTTTCTAAGAAGTCATTCATATTTCACTGATTTATGGAAAGTAACAAAACAGTGGCTGTTTGTAACACAGGCATCTTAATGCCTTTAATTAGGACCACTAACAGGAAAGAGGTGTAAGGGTCATGCACTAATGGGAAAAAAAATTCAACTTATTTTAACTACCTTTTTGTTAGCAAGGCAGTAGAGTGAAAAAAAAAAAAGTATCTCTCATGTCTCCAGCGAACAATCTTGACTCACTCTTTGGAAATTGGTAAGGATGGATATTTATAGTTCCTGCTAGTACTGTATTAATCTTGGAGAGTATCCCCCTAGCACTGAGATGCATACCCCATTAGTCCTTCTCTTCCTACATCAGTTTTCCTTAACAGGGCAACTGCAATGTCAAAATTTCTGCCAAGGTTAGAGAACAAAATTCAGCTTCTGAAATGCTGCAGCTCCTGTAGTAGGAGTCCACTACTGCATCTGACCAGAGATTTCTCCAGTCTTATGGCTCAGCCCTACTTTCTAAAAGCTTCATCCATTCATCATTTTGGCTACTTGCTTCAGCAATCAGCCTCAGATTGAGACCTAATGGACTAATAAAAATCTTGAATTCAATGGGAAAGTCATTTGACTTGTGCATAATTCATTGCACGATAAAGAAAAATCAGGACTTCCCAGGCTTGCGTTATCTACACTGCTGAAAGCTTGCAGTCTCCAGATGGCAAGGCACCTGGATCTTAAATCAACCTGGTGTCCTGCTGCACAGTAACCCCAACAGAAACACCTGGCATCATTTCACTGGAATATAACACATTGTGAAAAACGTCCTCTCTACACCAGAAAACAAATTCTAAGAGCCAAGGCTCTCATGAACAGCACCTAGGCTCAAAGCTGCTCACCTGCTACAAAGTCACCAAAGCCAACGGTAGTCAGAGTGACGACCACAAAGTAGATGGACTCCAAGGCTGTCCATCCCTCGATGTGTTTGAAGATAACTGCAGGAATGGTCACAAAGACAATGCAGCCTGCCAGGATGAAGAGGATGGTGGAGATCACCCGAATCTTTGTTTGACTCACTTGCTTTTTCTAGAAAAAGGAAATAACAAAAGAAAAAATATATATTTGAGTGGATTTCTGGGACTGTATACCTTGTGAATGGCAGACTGATCATGCTGGTGTGATCTGGTATTTCTCTTTCTGCCTTTTGTGAGCTTATTAGGTAGAAAAGAACCCTCCCTCCTCCCCGTTAGTGAGAGCCCTCCCTGGGCAATAGTGAACCTCTACATCTGGCCCCAGAAAAATGGTGATTCCCATTTTCCATGCACTAGGCAGTCACTAACCTACCAGAAACAGCCTGGAAAAACAGTCCTGAGCTTCAGAAAGGCTCCAGTACACTCCAGTTTGGGTTCGATGTATAAGAAAAAGTGCACATTCACACCTCCATACATACATATGTACACCCACATTGCCTCACCAGCCCCAAGCAAGACCAAGACTGAAATGAAAATAAACCCTGTTTTTCTTCTAAACCCCTGAGATTTTATGTAGAAATAATATGTGCTTCAGGTTTTCTAGACTTTCCTTGACTCAGGATTTCCATATTTCATTCACAAACATGAAGATTAAATCTCCTTTTCAAAAATAGATAGCTATATTATCGGTTTACTCCAGAAATAAAAGACTTATGTCAAATACCAAACAACCTGAGATAAAATTACCTTTGCAAATCCATACTGGAAAGCTCTTGAAGAAAGAGTATGTGTGTTACTGGCTGCTACAAACCGAATACAAATATGAGCAGTGTAATTGCAACATTTTACACTCCTAGATCATATAAACTCTCACTTTATTTAATATAAACCCTAGATTTTGTTTCCAGTAATACAGATGCAAGCCTGGATTAACAAAACTGATGGATTTATTTCAGATTTTCTGTGCTGTAAGTAAACTCAAAATTCAATAGAGTTTCACAAGAAACCTAGAAATTACTAGCAATCTTACTGTGGATTAATTACAGTGGCAGTGTAAATTCTGTATTTATTCTGGAAAATGAATGTGGAGGTCACTGTAAGTGACTTATTTCCAAATTAGTTTTCCAAATCAAGTATCTCCCTTAACCCAGAAGTGAGATCTCATTTCAGATTAGGACATTGACTAGGCAGGAAATAATGTCTCAAGTTATCTTTATAATATACAGGGGCGATATTGCCCGAACTTGTTAATATCTAACCAATTTGTGAGCAGTACTACTGCTTCCACTAAAGCATGAGTGTTTATTTTAGAGGTGCAATGTCTGGCCATCATTAGGCACTCATGTGACCTGGGATACTCTGCATTTAAAACACAGGTAGCAGAATAAATGTACAATATTTCATAAATAGTTTTAGTTCTGAAACTGTTTGACATTATTATCTCTATGCTTAATTTTTTTCTTTTTGTGTGTGTGCATTGTTTTCTGTGTCTGGCTGAACAAAACCAGTTAAATAGGATTAGTAATACAATGCCATAAATAAGATTAATCAAATACAAGACATGGAAAAAACTGCCACTGAAGAACCAAGGCGAAAAACAACACAAGAATGTAAAACCTGACTTGACTTCTTATTTCCTTTTTTCCTGGGGACCCATTTCGAGCAGTTTGCTAAAATACTAAAGGCTGATCTAGCTTCTTTAAGAGTTATGGACACACATTCACAATGGCAGGATTTCACTTACTTATGTGTAGCGAAGGGAAAGCAACTGATCACATGGATGCTACATGGTGTCTCAGACTGGCACACTTGCTTTTGGTCATGGAGGACCAAGATTTAACCAAGTTCTTGTTTATTTACTGGTTTGGCTAACGTGACTTATTCACTTCCACTAAATGCTTCAGTTTCCTGGCACGTAAAAACGAAATGGCAGACACCTCGCTACAGTGGAAGTTACAAGGCACATGCAGTGCTGTATAGTACTGGGAATCCTTGGACAAAGTACTTCGGGGTTGCCAAGCACTACTAGCAAAGCAAAGTTATGCATAGTAAACCTTCCTCCAGTCCCCATACAGCAACATTAAAATGCATTTCAATATGTATCAGGATTGTCTTGTCTCATGGTAAAAACAGGAGTGGAAAGAATGGCCTACCAATCTGTTCCAAATGGTCAGGACATCGACTTGTTCATGAGTGATAAATTCAGCCAAAGGTTGTTGGGGTTTTTTTAAGTAAAAACACTAACAATGTTAATGAGAGGCTCTGCAGAAAGGCCTGACTCATGGTTATTGTGCATCTCAGTTACTCCCACAAAAGTGGAGCAGCTGAGGCTCTATTTTTTCCCTACTCTTCCACTGGTACAAATGAAGTCAAAAAGCAATGGTGAATCAAGCACAGCATTTTTAGAGCTACTGAAAAGAGCACAAAAACAATACTCAGAAGCAGAATTACTTAATGGACAGTGACACATGAAATTCAACATACAGGTGGAAAGGGGGTCTTTTTACAGTTAGATATGCATTCTGGGGATATTCACAGTAGAGTATAACTGCTATAGACCCAAAAAATGCTAAGGCATAAACGTCATTATTCATGGAATATGTACATTGTAGTAATCATATGTTACAAAAAGGTTGGCTTGCATGTTTTCCTTGTGGAGGGAGTTGGCCTTGCTATTTTCCTATAAAGAACATTACTTTGTGCTGCCCGGGTTCTCAGGAATAAGGAATGCAGCCTTTACATTCCAGTTTGGGCACCGTTGTATTAAGATGAGACTAGATTAGCCTAAACCACTGCAGTATTACACTGTACCAAGTCATTATTAAAAAAAATATATATATATATATATGTGTACTAATGGCTGAGAAATCTTGAAAGGTTCATACCTCAGGCCTTTGACTTTGACTGAGTCTGAAAAATTAGGCTGGTATTTTCAGAAGAACAGAAAAAAAAATCCCTGAAGTTCTGTAAAGGAAGTTTTTTCCTCGGGACAGTATATTTCAGAGGAACAGCGATCTTATGCCTTTTTGATACTTCTGCTCTCTTTTTCCAGCCTAATGCCCTGGTCACCATGGTATAGAATTGGTTTCCCACTTGCTTGCTTTTCTTGCCACCTCTCCCTCCTCCTACCTGGCCTTGTTTTACCATCCAGGACTCTGTAGTAAGACTCCAAATAAACTCATCAAGTACTGCAGGTCATTGCAGTGTAATAGATCTGCCTGTCAAAGAAACTTAGGTATACCCAGTGTTCCCACAGTATATGAACTTTTAACAGCCTTGTGGAAAATGCTCTCCAGCTGTACACTGGCTTTACTAACAAACGAGAATTGCATTTAGGATTCTAACACTGAAAGAACTTTTTGTTTTAAATAGCATTTGCAATCTGAAGCCAAATAGCTGAGTAACTCCAGCCAGGCTAACACATCCTCTGAGCCCATTTTGTGGAATAAATGCAGAATTTTCTGTGTCAAAATGAAACAGTAAGAGAGGCCTTTCTCCAGCAATAGTAGTTCATCTCATAGTGGTTTAAGTAAAATGAAAACACTTTTGAAAGAGCTGTTTTCTACTTTCTTTTTTTTTTTTAGTTTTGTTTTACCAACAAGTACTCTCCACATTGATGGAGCAGATAATTTGTGAGACATTCATCAAATATAAATAAATTAGTGCCTGCTAATGAGAAAGGCCTCAATTTAAATCCACCTTGAGATAATCTGGAAAAGATTAAAGTAGGAATCTAAGAAGAAAAGATGGAGAGTTTTCAATCATATAACAACCTATGAGGGGTCATTTCCATTTACTAATGAAGTTGCTGATTTTATTCTTAAGGTGGTTAGTCATAGAATAGAATCATAGAATCATTTAGGTTGGAAAAGACCTTCAAGATCATAGAGAACAACCATCATCCATGCCCACTAAACCATGTTCTGGAGTACTTTCTCTATGTGCTTTTTGAATACCTCCAGGTATGGTGACTCAACCACTTCCCTGGGCAGGCTATTCCAATACCTGACAACCCTCTCAGTAAAGAAATTTTTCCTAGTATCTAACCTAAATCTCCCTTGCCACAACTTGAGGCCATTTCCTCTTGTCCTATCACCAGCCACCTGACAGAAGAGACCAACACCCACCTCACTACAACCCCCTTTCAGGTAGTTGTAGAGAGCGAGAAGGTCTCCCCTCAGCCTCCTCTTCTCCAGGCTAAACAGCCCCAGTTCCCTCAGCTGCTCCTCATAAGACTTGTGCTCCAGGCCCCTCACCAACTTGGTTGCCCTTCTCTGGACACGCTCCAGCACCTCCATGTCTTTCCTGCAGTGAGGGGCCCAAAACTGAACACAGTACTCAAGCTGCAGCCTCGCCAGTACAGGGGACAATCACCTCCCTGCTCCTGCTGGCCACACTATTTCTGATACAGGCCAGGATGCTGTTGGCCTTCTTGGCCACCTGGGCACACTGCTGGCTCATATTCAGCTGGCTGTCAACCAACACCCCCAGGTCCTTTCCCACCGGGCAGCTTTCCAGCCACCCTTCCCCAGGCCTGTAGCGCTGCGTGGGGTTGCTGTGACCCAAGTGCAGGACCCGGCACTTGGCCTTGTTGAACCTCATACGATTGGCCTCACCCCATCGATCCAGCCTGTCCAGATCTCTCTGTAGAGCCTTCCTACCCTCAAGCAGTTAAGTGCTAAACAGGCAAAATCACTGCATATAACATCATCTTGTTCCTATTAATTCAAACAACCTAATGTCAATCTGCTCCAGTGACAAGAGGGGTGAGGACAGACATTCTTATGGAGACATCCTTATCAGTGGAATTTACTTCTTATGCATCTTTTCCATCAATGAGTGTGACCTTGCTCTTTCCTTGTTTTCTATTACATACACTGGGGTCTTATAGGTTTTGGTCTTATCCAATAATTTCAGGAGTTAAAAGAAATCCCTTTTTCTTTCTCCTTTTATTTCTCTCTCTCTGGTCATTAATTCAGGCACAGTTTTTCTGACCTAAATGTTGACAACAACAGGACCAAACAAGGTTCTTAAGTTCCCAAGCTGAGGCCACAGGCATGATATATAGTCCTTCCAAAATGGAGTAGATACTGTTTTTTCCAAGTAGAAGACATT